GCACTCCCTGCATCCCCTGCATGCCATGCATCCCATGCATCTTGGAGTAAGTATTACAGGAATATAGCCTCCTGTCTGACGCACTCGCTGTCTAGGAACGCCGGATAGGAACGCCTCCAGTCGTCAGAAATCACTGTTTAAAAGTTTCCGTGATCTTATTCTGTTTTTGATGGTTTTAACTGTTCAAAATATGTTTCGTTGATACAATGTATTATTATCTTCATTTATTAGGATGTCTTATACAATGAGTCAGTGCGTTTTATTCGCGCCAACTTTTGAATTGTTAACGAAATTGATGTACGCTCGCATCATTGTCTATTTGTATCAAACGGCGATTATTGTTTATTTACCGTTTAATCAATCAAGTGCTATTAGTTAGATTTACAACTCCAAATAATGTAGCATTTTGCTTAATGTCAATATGATCTGAATTGATACGGTCATTTAGTTAATCAATCGATACTCGGTCGGTCATGACTTATGCGCTTCCATTCTGTCCAATTGCAGACAACTGGTTCAGAAAGTTACTGAGTCTTGCTTGGTGCCCAGTTGTGTTTGTCTGTAAAGGACGGTTACATCTTCTCCAATTGATCTAGTATATTGTACATATACACACCGTGGAGTCAACAACCAGTCTCCAAATAGAAATTCTAAAGTATTTCCGTCCAAACGGTAAGTAGTTATATCGATTTCAACTTCGTATCGTCCCAATTTCTTCGGTTAAACACATATAAGGTGAACGCTCTGAATGCCACAACTGCTTTCTCCGAGACCGCTGTCCGAATGTCCAGTCAGATTACAATGTATACATTTTTTATGCGACTTGTAAAAAACGATTTTCATTATTTGTATTACGCATGCGCAGTGTGAATATTAATTTGCGAGGATGACCACAGTGTGTGAGCTGGCCAGAGACCGTTAGCTGTTTATATTAAAATGCGCTGTTGTGGGGATGTGCGTCTCATTTGTGTTAATTCAACGGGATCGATTCAAGCATACAATGATTTGCACAAGTTACCATTCAATGCAAGAGATCAATGAAGATGTAAGGAACGTAGAATTTACATCTTATAACAAGTTTTTTTTATTAACGGTACTTTTATAGTCGATAATCGCAACTGCGTGAAACTGCTCACGTCATTCTTTTATATTTCCCAAAATGTAATTGTCATTAATATTATTTTCACAAATGTGTTGTCTATATTTTTCAAATGTTGCGTGTTGTGCAATTTGACGAGAGAGTATGTTGAACAGCGTCGACGCCATCTATTAGTTAATCACAATTACATCAAAGAGGCTATTAAAAGCGCGAATGGTAATAGATGAGTAACGACCTTTTAGTAACCCCAACGAACTCAGAGTAAAAAATAAGAAAACAGATAGGACTTGGAAAGCTACACGTATCATGAATTTGCAAAGTTATGTATATTTAAATTATATATTTTATTTGTTATACGCTTTGGCACACCAATAGTGTGGTGGAAAATTGCATTTCGCGAATGCCAATATATTCGCATATGTAAGACAATATGTAATCTATGTTATATCACAGGCAAATGGGGCGACGTTAAAGACAGGCATGACGGGCTACTTTGTACGGCTTGTGGTGAAGAGGATGAGACCTTGGAACATTTCATGCTAAAATGTAAAAAACTCTCAACCGAAAGAAAAATCATTCCAGATATAGTTAAAAATCACTCGCAGATAACAAATCAAAGTAATGAGCAAACTCTAAGACTGATATTTGGTGAAAATGAACAATTGGCACTTGATCAGTATTAATTGTGAAAAATGTTCATAAAATGTATACATGACGTGAAGACAGAATGTAATTGCGTATCTCAAATAGTCAAAATAACTCAGAGCATTGGGCCTGTTGCGGTTACGGGTCAACGCGGTAGCCTGGCGTCCGGTCGTATAATAGGGGGTGCTCTTGATGTGACGTTAATACTATTATGTTCCTTATATGTATATAATGTATATAACTTTTTACTAATTTATTTTCCTTAATAAGAAATTGTACTCTTCAGAATTGGAGGAAATAAAGATAAAAACAAAATTAAACGTATATCTTTGTTTTGTCTAGCTAGATATAATGCACAAATATGTGAGAATTCATGCAGAATTTAATTGCTATTAATTCAATTTAATAAATTAATTGAAAAGGTCAGTTTGTTTATTTATCAATGTTGGCATATACACATAATAAAAATATGTTCAATACAATAAAACTGTAAATCAAACTCGGACGATGGTCTTTATTAATATTACCTACATTGATGCTCGCTCTTTATAGCCCCTTGCAAATAAGTGTTACTCAAGCATAGAGCCTGAATATAAACCTCGTGTAAGGGCAGAAGAAACCCTGTTTATAGAAACACTATTTCGAGTTTGGAGGAATGGCTTCGCATCGCACTTCGGGTTTGAATACTAAGTTTTCGATCTTGCTAGTTTCCTAATTTTTATTTTAAGGGTCTCTTTGCTTCTATTGAATCAATGATTTAAGTACGATGATAATCTGTTAATGTGAGGCAGAACAAGTAGAAACACACAAGAAACGAATTGTTCATCAATCCAATACTCTAGTGTTGTGATATTTACTGTACTTAAACGTTATATTTTTTCAATTTTTTAAAATTATTTAATCATAATAGCCCATGATATAGTACGTAACAAATACACGGGTGATCTGCTCAATTACGCTGGTTACCGAAACAGTTCGTTTCGGTAACAAAATGTCGGAACGTCGAAGGTACGATTTTTCTTTGTTCCGTATTTCACGCGTTGTAGGTAGAATCCCCACGACATGTTTTCACAAAAACGTGTATCAGTATCATATGTTTTAGAAAATGTACATGTTCGCCAAAAAGTAGCTCAGAAGATAACAGAATCGTCGATTTAATTCCTCATTTAAGTTACATAAACAGTTTGGGTTAAAAGTGCAGATCTTAACTGTTTTTCGAAATACCGTTGCGGTAATTTAAGTGAGGAATTAAATCGACGATTCTGTTGTCTTCTGAACTATTTATTCGCAAATATGTACATTTTCTTAAACATGTGATACTGATATACGTTTGTGATAAAAATGTCGTGTTAATTCTGCCTACAACGTGTGAGATAAGGAAAAAGAAAAATCGTACCTAATTCGACAATGGGCTTTCAACTAGAGGGTAGGCAACTTCCCGTCTTTCATACATTGGTTGGTCTTCAAAATTGGAGAATCAAAGAAAATCTTATTTTGTACTTTCAATTGATGATTCAAAAAATAACTCAAAAATAAAAACATGATTATCTACATACATGTTGATAATTAAATAAAAAAAATCGAATTCATCATAATTATGACAATACAGAAAGTGAAAATTCTCCCACAAACTATGTTTTTATTGGAATATGTCCTTGAATAATTCAAACAATGCAATACTCGAAGAGAACATATTGATACCTCTTATTCTTATTGGTCCTTTTTGTTTACTTTTACATAATATTGAATATATATTATGCTTAGATCATATTGACAATTGATTTTTATTGAAAATAATACTAAAACATCATATATTTATCAAAAACTTTTTTAAATATTACCATAAAAGGGAAGCATGGCATCGCTCATTTTGAAGGTCTCATGTTATTAGACAGAGTTGCTTCTGAAAGCACATGCTTCGACGTTCCGACATTTTGTTACCGAAATGGTACCAGCGTAATCGAGTGGATCACCAGTAGTACATAATAAAATAGGATGTGATTAGTTGATGAACTCATTTAAATCCAGGATTGAATGACGTGAAGACGAGTGGATAAACATATCCTGAGCTGTATAGCATAGGATTTTACTTTATGAATTTTAAAATGAAAGCAGGTTTAAAGCATGGTGACAATCCCACATCTGCACTTTCTCGTCTAAAATACGTGGATCAATCATCAAAGACATTTATTCTAAAAAGTATGGCTTAATTTAAGCAAAACGTCCGACAAGGTTTGCAGCATAAAGACCAATCGAGGTGGAGATGGATCGTCTGCTTTGTAGTTAGAACTTCGTTCAGCGCAATATATTTATCCCGGGAATGTGCTCTTACATAACGATGTCATATTTAGATGAAATGGCTTACTTAGCTCAGAGGTCATGGGTCAGCGTTATACTGCAGGGCAAAATCAAATATTATAATTATGCCCAATGCATCCCCCTCCACATGACCATAACGAACTTGATAAACGAATTCAAACAAATCAAACGGGGCGAAAGCAAAACATGAGTTGGTGTATGATGTGGTCATATTTTGATTTAAAGGTCACCTCGACGATTACGTTTAAGCGAATTGTCACAATCAGCTGTTTCTTGGCGTTTGGATGTCGTAGCTAGGGAGTTCCGGTGTTTGTCCAGTGACCAATGAAAATAAGTAAATGGCTCTGTATTCATCTCAAATATTTTATTTTTCAAAACGCTAAATAGCGAAAACTGCATAAGTAGATTTTTGTTACAGCTCAATGTGAATAAGCAAATGGCGTTTTGTTCATCCCCAATATTTTCCTCTTTTCGAAACGCTTATAGTGAACACTGCATAATTATTGTTTTGTAACAGCCCAATGTAAATAAACAAATGGCGCTATGTTTATCCCCAATATTTTCCTTTTTTACATTATTTCTGATGACCTTTTCCCAGTTAACATAGAAGGATTGAATCTAATTTTCATTTTGTTTATTTCTGATCCATACTATATACTATGCATGTGTGACGTAGATTAAGTGTATATTCCAAAAATATTGCACTTCTTTGTTTGAATTTTGCATTCTTCCTATAATTTGTCGGACTCCTGACAGTCTGATGAATCCTCAAGCGATATAACAAAACAGATATAATAGAGATCACATTTTACCATATAAATATTAAACGTATTTTGCACTAGTAGATAAAAAGATGGCAGAGTTTATCAAAATGCCATTCAATATATCCTATGAGCAAGCTCACACAGCGACATCTTTGTTGAGTCATATTCATTTTTTATTTTTCTGGATAAACAATTTTATCTTCAAGTCCCAACTGCCAGAGTACTTCCGTTACAGTCGTACCCCGCATACCAAGAAGATCGGGATCTTGTGGATGGAAGTTCAGTAGGAATCTGAAAATAAAGTTTTCAATTAGTTAATTTGAAACATAGGATTAATTTAGCCTTGCCCAAGTTGGTCTCTTTTACTTATCTTAATTCAAGATCAGATAAGTAAAAAATAACGACTTGGGCAAGGCTAGATCAAATCCTATGTTACAGTATGTGATGTGAGAAAGTCACTCCACCTCAGTGGGAATCGTCGAACTCACAACCTCCCGATTACATGTCAGATGCTCTCACTGGCGGATCAAGAAGCTAACATGGGGGGGGGGGGCAAATTAAATTTTGATTCGGGAAAAAAGTTGGGCCCTTAAAACCAAAAATTAAGCCCAAACTTTGAAAACTTGAGGCCAATTTTTTGATAATTTGGGTTAAAAAGGCCAAATTATACCCAAAAGGCGCATTTTGAGACCCTACGTAATTTTTGGACCCAAAAATTTTCGGGGCCCTAAAGTTTTTACTGGGCCCACAAAGGCGGGGGAGGGGGGAGGGGCTTGGGACCCTGGATCCATCAGTGGCTCAACCATTTAAATCGCTTCAATATGGTCTTTGAAAATAAGATTTCTTGACCAAGGGATAACCAGTCATATTGCGTTCAAATTCATTAAATTTACCCTTTTCAATTAAATGTATGTCTTCTAAGAAGCTGACACGGTTATCATTTCATACTCAAACTTTTGCGATAGTATAGTCCAATGCATCGTATCTACCTTTAAGGTTACCAAGATCGTCTCGGGATTAAAACAACTAGCAATTAATTTGTCAATCGTCAGCAGTATATAGAAATTAATACATGGTCGTGCCAATTATACTTTAATTAATACGGTCCTCACCAAGCGCTAAAGTTACAATTTCTTATGATTGTGAGCTAGTTAGGTCCAAGGAAAACTTTCTAGGTTGACCTACTCAATTCATTCCATCCGGCAAATTTAGCACTTTACCTGAAACATTTTTTGAATCAAAACATCTCGATGATCATTAACTGTACCTATCAGGATCTTGCGCTGATGGGATGGCGCCCTGTACATATTCTAAACTTGGAGTGTTTGATACATCAGCCTTCTTGATCCCAACTCCAACCATATATAAGAATAGGTAGGGAGCGTCCCCAATCTCTCCACCAACCATGATACGTAAATCTGTATGAACCTCAACAGCTATCTTGATTTCAGATAACATAATAAAATACTAACAAATTGAATTATTTAAAATACACTTCCAAATAAACACTGCCACCTTTTGTTACATCGAAGAGGCTGGGATATATTTGATAGATTGCTGATGTCATTGGTTGTAGGTAGCCATCTACATGTATCATAGTTTCTATGATGCACCAAAAGGTGGCAGGGTTTATTGGAAAGATATATTAGGGTGGCTGTCTTTTTTCACATTGCAATACAAACACATTGACTTATTTATCTATTTTCGAGTTCAACTTCAGCAAAAGCTGTCTCAGTGCTTAAATGTCAAACATCTTTTCATGAAATCTCACCGGGGCTAGCTCTTGCTGCGATGGAATACAAATTAACACAAGAGTGTAACTGGTCGCCATGCGAAAAAATCCCATCTCTGATATGACGCATGACGCATAAAAACAACCCCTCAATCAACCAATGCCATAAAATAAACAACAGAATGACTATTCATACAGTTCATAATAAATACTTAAGAAATATTCACCCGTTTAATGCCATAACCAAAGCATTTGGCCAGCGTTTCAGAAAGTCCCTTTAAGAATTCCGACGTCACCTCTTCTCTCTTTACCGATGTTCTTAGTACCGAGTATGGCATTGTGCTACTTGATTGTGTTTATGAAGTATATGCTTGATTGTTAGTTTGCTTATCTGTATGTTGATTTTATAAGTACATGCTGGTTCAGTTCAGTTCAGTTCAGTGAATTAGTCTGGAATTGAGATAAGAAATGAAAGAAAATGTAATTTTGAAAGATTGTTTTTGTTTTCAATAGAGAACATGCGTTAAGTCCGAGGTGTGTCTGCATTTTTTCTCATTTGCTTGTAAAAACAAGCCAGTGCCTTGAGTTCGTTTTAAGAAAAAAATGTTCGTTACCATCAGAAAAACGTGTTAGACCACTTGGCATAAGCTTTTACTCTTTCCATAAAATGATATCAAACAAACAATATAAATCAACTACTTGGAGTTTGTGTAGCCCTCTTGCAATAAGCAAAAAGTCCAATTAACCACACGTTCGAAATCAGTGTTACCGTATTATTCGTTACCATGAATACGAGGCTATAATATAACGCTAAAATGCGGCATTATTATTGGTTTTAGATTTATGACGTACACTCCCCTCCATAAGTTTGGCAACCTTTTTTCCCCCATTGAACTACGTGTTAAAGCCTCTTTACCTTTGAATTTTTTATTTACTTAACCTGCGATGAAAATACTTATACTATTGATGGAAACGTAATTTTACTTTAATTCCAATACCTCCAAATTTTCTCAATTTTTTTCCTCAATTACAATAGGTCGAAAATTGATGATAAATTTGATGAATTTTTGAAAATCGACATTCCCATGTTAACCAATGGGAAATGGTAGGTTTGCCGCAAGTCATATGACAGAATATCCATCCATCCGAGTCCTTGCAAAAAATACGAGTTAGGCAGGCAATTGAATTTTTTAACTTTATTTAACAAAATTCGATATTTTTTTTTTTTTTTTTTATTTATTTATTAGGATAAAACGCTTTTACAACAGCGGCACTACTAAAATTTAGTGTGCATCCAAAGAGACTAAAAATACATACATACATAGGTTAAAATCATTAGAAATACATTTCCTTTAAGAATTCGTAAACACATTTCTCAAATTTATTTATTTGGTCCTGCCCCCATGTGCCTATGTAAAGTGAACCACCAATAATCCATTGTAGCTTATCATTAAGGCTCGCTGATAAGTATTCACCTACAAGGGCAACGTCACATGAAGAGATTAAATTGTTAATGAATAGGTTTCTTTTATCCTGGAGGACGGGGCAAAGGAACAGGCGATGGGACATAGAGTCATAAGAATTGGAGGGACATAATTTACAAAAGCCATCACTTTTATTCCACCTTTTAAGGTCTGATTCTAATTTAAAGCAACCCGACCTAGCTAAGAATTTTTGTCTTGCTCCTTGGAAGTTGAATGGGTTTTTAGGTACTCTTCTTGAAAGACATGTCTCTTAACATTTCTATAAAGGGATAGGGATGGCCGGTTGCAAATTGATGAAAACAATTCCTTTGTAGTAATTTCGTTGGAAATATTGAGAAAGGATGAGTACCATTCTTCAGAATTAACATTCAATTTATTATCGAGCCCATGGTGCACTAATATATTTGCTATGTTAGAAACATACTTCCAATTAGATTCTTTATTTATTGAATATGATTCCAAGAGGGCAGATAAAACCTTTGATACTAGGGTTTGTGAGTTCTTATTCTTTAGATAGCAGAAATAGTCAATTTGACGTTTTTGAAAGATCTTTTCAATTGGACGCCAGCCCATATCACAGACAAGGGCTTCATAAGCTGGGGAACACTTAAGGCTAAGAATGGACAAACCAGCTTGATATTGATACGACTTTAAATTTTTCTTCATTTCGCTTGGCTTGTGTTAGGAAGGAGGACTCCTGCTCCATGCAATATTGAAGGAAGGAACATGTTATTAGACTCCAGATTGAAAATCTGGAGTCTATTGTTTTTGCCTGTTTTCTTTATTATTATTATTATTATTATTATTTTTCTTTCTTTTTTCTTCCTCCTCACCAAATTTCTCGTCAACTATAACAGCTAACTTAATCCAACTTACATGGTTAACTAAAGACTGAAACCGGCTTTCTAGGAAATTAGGTCAAATTTTTATCTAGGTCAAAGGTCAAGAACTAGGTCAAATCTTACATTTTCAACATTCTTCATCATATCTTCGTCAATATTCTTCGTAACTCCTTCATCTTTTTTTCATCGTGTAGCTTAGAAAAAGGCGAATCAAAGATATGACATCAGAATTTTGATTACTCTTACCGATTTTGAGATATGGCGTCCGAAATGTAGGTCACGCCTAAACATGCTCCAAATCGAATGTGTGAGCTATGATAAAGATGTAGAATTGTCTCAGGAATCCAAATCTGCAAACCAAATTTGGATCGGACTTCCGGTTCGGAAGTTATGGCGTGTTGAAAGCTCAAAAATCGCTCAATTTGGTGCCTATGTTAAGTCAATGGGAAAAAAGACTTTTTCGAAGTGTAAAATACAGGATATAGACTGAGTACAGCTTAACATAATGAATGCTTATAAAAGAAGGGGACCTCAAAAGCTACATAGGTTCAAAATTTGGACACCAAAATGCCTAGGTCAAAATCTAGGTCAAATTAATAGTTTTTCCTTATTTTTACGATTCTGACACTACACATTAATAATTTACTTCAAAATTTTGTATACAGGTTGCAAAGAGTGTGCTAATAGTGTTAGCCTTTTGCCGTCAGAAAGTATTTTGACCCACTTTTGAGATATGGTGTCCGAAAAGTAGGTCAAAATAAAAAGTTCTCAAAATTCAACGTATGAGTCATGAATCAAGGGTAGAATTTTCTCAGGAATCCGAATCTGCAAATAACATTTCGAACCGACTTCCGGTTCGGAAGTTATGGCGTGTCCAAAAAGTAGGTCAAAATAAAAAATTTCCAAATTTAACGTATGAGTTATGAATTAGGGGTAGAATTTTGTCAGCAATCCGAATCTGCAAACCAAATTTCGACCGGACTACCGGTTCGAAAGTTATTGCGTTTTGAAAGCTCAAAAAATCGCTAAATTTGGTGCCCCATGTTATGTCAATGAGAAAAAGGATTTTTTTGAAGTGTAAAATACCAGATATAGACTGAGTACAGCTTAATATTCTGAAAGCCTATAAAAGGAGGGGACCTCGAAGGCTATCTAGCTTTAAAATTTGGACGCAAAAATGCCTAGGTCAAAATCTAGGTCAAATTTATAGTTTTTCCTTATTTTTGCGATTCTGACATTACACTTTAATGATTTGCTTCCAAATTTTGTAGACAGGTAGCAAAGAGTGTGCTAATAGTGTTAGCCTTTTGCCGTCAGAAAGTATTTTGACCCACTTTTGAGATATGGTGTCCGAAAAGTAGGTCAAAATAAAAAGTTCTCAAAATTCAACGTATGAGTTATGAATTAAGGGTAGATTTTTCTCAGGAATCCGAATCTTTAAAGCAAATTTCAATCCAACTTCTGGTTACATAGTTATTGCAGTTTGAAGTCTCGAAAAGTAGATATGATGATTTCCCCATGTTAAGCCAATGGAGTCGAAGATAACATTCTTAAGAGTTGTCTAAATGTCTATATTCTAGCTGACTCGGCTTATTCTGGATGACTCAGCTTACAAGTTCTGGATGACTCAGCTTACAAGTTCTGGATGACTCAAATCTGAGAAATCTGGAGTCTTAAATTGAACTTGTTCAATTTACATGTCTAGTGATTTTTGCTTTCGTATGTGCAAAAAGCAAAAATCCTCCTCACACACGTTCTCACCAACGAGAGATATTTGGATAAATCTACTCATACACGTTGTTAGGGGGCTAGGCGTAGTTGGTGGGAAATTAGGTCAAATCCTTATCTGGGTCAAAGGTCGAAATCTAGGTCGAAATCTGCATTTCCGCTATTTTGGCCTCTCGAGCCTCCTTAAGAAGTCAGAATCGGAGGAAAACTAGCTGGTCGGAAAGACAGTTTTCCGAGCGTTAAAAAAACAGTGAACCAAATTTCAATCCGACCATTAGTTATCGAGATATACGCGTTTGAAGTTCGCGTACGGGCCACCGTTGCCGTATATCTAGACGACACCTGGTATACACTTGGTATAGTATACGTATCTCTGCGAACAACAGACATTTGAAAGAAAATAGGCCCGAAGGATGACTAGAGCATTTCTAAAACAACGATTCCCTTCGTCAAACTAACGATTGCGGAATGTAGAACGACACGTACGCTGCTCGAATCTACGTCGAAAGCTCTATATAAACGTCTGGAAGGCCTATTTTTTGAAGGACTATTTTTTGACCTCGACGGATCCGCGAAGCACGAGCCAGGCATTCTCCCCAACTACCTCCCTAGATTCCCCGACCTTTAATCGACCATTATAGGCCCTCAGAGCGTCCGTAGAGCCATTTCCCTCTATACGCGTATGGGCAAATCCTATTATGATTTTTGCTTTCGTATGTGCAAAAAGCAAAAATCCTCCTCACACACGTTCTCACCAACGAGAGATATTTGGATAAATCTACTCATACACGTTGTTAGGGGGCTAGGCGTAGTTGGTGGGAAATTAGGTCAAATCCTTATCTGGGTCAAAGGTCGAAATCTAGGTCGAAATCTGCATTTCCGCTATTTTGGCCTCTCGAGCCTCCTTAAGAAGTCAGAATCGGAGGAAAACTAGCTGGTCGGAAAGACAGTTTTCCGAGCGTTAAAAAAACAGTGAACCAAATTTCAATCCGACCATTAGTTATCGAGATATACGCGTTTGAAGTTCGCGTACGGGCCACCGTTGCCGTATATCTAGACGACACCTGGTATACACTTGGTATAGTATACGTATCTCTGCGAACAACAGACATTTGAAAGAAAATAGGCCCGAAGGATGACTAGAGCATTTCTAAAACAACGATTCCCTTCGTCAAACTAACGATTGCGGAATGTAGAACGACACGTACGCTGCTCGAATCTACGTCGAAAGCTCTATATAAACGTCTGGAAGGCCTATTTTTTGAAGGACTATTTTTTGACCTCGACGGATCCGCGAAGCACGAGCCAGGCATTCTCCCCAACTACCTCCCTAGATTCCCCGACCTTTAATCGACCATTATAGGCCCTCAGAGCGTCCGTAGAGCCATTTCCCTCT